TACTCGATGATTCATCCCTAAAGGAGGAGATACTTGGAGAGTGTCATCACTTTAAGTTTGCTATCCACCCCGATGGTAAAAAAATATATAGAGACATGAAGCGTCAATATTGGTGAAAGAGAATGAAGAAGGATGTGACAAGGTTCATAACAAGATGTGCAGTGTGTCAGCAGGTGAATGTGGAGCATCAAAAGCCTGGAGGATTACTATAATCCTTGCCTATCCTAGAGTGGAAGTGGATCACATCACCATAGATTGCGTGTCTAATTTTCCCCGGACTTCATGAGGGCATAATGTCGTATGGGTCATTGTTGATAGACTCACAAAGTCCACTCATTTCTTGAGTATGAAGACCACAGACACTTTAGAGACCTTGAGCAAGCTTTATATTCGTGAGATTGTGAGATTACATGGAGTTTCACTCTCTATTGCGTCGGATCTTGATTCTCATTTTGTGGCGCAATTCTAGCAAAATCCACGAGTTATGGGGACAGAGTTACACTTTAGCACCGCCTTTCGTCCTCAAACGGATGGCCAATCTGAGAGGGTGATACATATTTTGGAGGACATGTTATGTGCTTGTGTGTTGGACNCTTATTTTTGGAGAGTAAAAACTACACTTCAAGGGCTACAAACGTGTATTTCACAAAATTTTTTTGAATTGGCTTCTAAATAGGTCAAAATTGATCTGGAAGTGGAGGGTATTCTGTCACCCGTGTCCGANCTTATTTTTGGAGAGTAAAAACTACACTTCAAGGGCTACAAACGTGTATTTCACAAATTTTTTTTGAATTGGCTTCTAAATAGGTCAAAATTGATCTGGAAGTGGAGGGTATTCTGTCACCCGTGTCCGGNTTTTGGAGGACATGTTATGTGCTTGTGTGTTGGACTTCAAGGGAAGTTGAAGTGATCATTTGCCATTGGTGGAATTTGCTTATAACAACAGTTTTCAATCTAGCATTAGCATGACACCTTATGAGGCATCGTATGGAAAACCATGAAGGTCCCCGACTTGTTGGCTGGAAGTTAGAGAGAGTAACTTGTTTGGGCTAGAAATTGTTCGGGAGACTATGGAGAAAATTCAACTCATCAAGGAGAGACTATGCACGGCACAAAGTAGACAGCAAAGCTATGCGGATAAAAGACGAAGACCATTGAAATTCCAAGAGGGGGACTTGTGTTCCTCAAGGTGTCACCCAAAAAGGGAGTGTTTAGATTTGGCAAGAATGGAAAATTAACTCCAAGATACATTGGACCATTTGAAGTGATCAAAGTAGTGGGCAAATTAGCGTATCAACTTCAGTTACCAGCTCAATTGTAAGGGGTACTTGACGTGTTTCATGTGTAAATGTTGAGAAAGTGACAATCGGATACAACGCATGTTATGGATTTGGAGGATATTGAAATTCAAGATAAAGCAACATATGAAGAACAATCAGTGAAGATTCTCGATACCAAGGAGAATGTGCTTCACAACAAAGTCATTCAATTGGTGAAAGTCTTGTGGCAACATCATGAGGTGGAGGAAGCTACTTGGGAATCAGAGTTGGAGATGCGAGATAAGTACCCTAATTTGTTCTCTACTTAAGGTAAGTTTTCAAGGACGAAACTTTCTTTAAGGGGGTGGATTGTAAACCCCCATATTCTTATTTTTATATATAGCAATGTGATTATTTTTGAAATACTAATATATGTGATGAGGTATGCATGAACCATATAGATTGTAACAGTAGGAATAAATACTAAGGAGACAAATTGATTGTGAAGTTTAAGTTTTGAGAGACGTTTAAACTTGGGAAGGGTTGTTAAGTAAGTTTTTAAATACTTTTAGGTAAAAATAAGATTTTCATTGAATCCGGAAGGTAGAGAAACCTTGGGAGAAGTAATATGGGGTGTATTAGAAGTTAGGAAGTCTCCCGGAGTTTAAACACATTTTTGAAAGATTTCGGATTTGAAGGAATTTGACACTATCTTAGTATTTTAATCATAAATCTTTACTCCTAACTCAGATTGATCTTATTTTTGGAGAGTAAAAACTACACTTCAAGGGCTACAAACGTGTATTTCACAAATTTTTTTTGAATTGGCTTCTAAATAGGTCAAAATTGATCTGGAAGTGGAGGGTATTCTGTCACCCGTGTCCGGACGGGAATAGACACGCGTCCGGATCCGTTTGGCGGAAGTTGGGTGCAGAAACACGCGTTCGGACGGTAATAAGCACACGTTCGGATGCGCCAAGCCGGGGGCTTCATGTCCCATACTTGTTTTTGGGTGCTTTCTCCAATTTTTCTCCCATTTTCATCAATGCTAACTACTAGAGAGGCTTAGAGAGGAAGAAAGAAGGGGTAAAACAAGAGAACAAAGTGTGAATTCAAGTTGGGGAAGATCAAATTTTCTAGTTCTCACACAAAATCTAAGGAAGTAAGGTAGGAGTTTCTTCATATTCTCTTCCATTGAGGTTAAAGTTTATATATATGTATGTTTTGACTCTCAATCCTATATATATGCTATGAAATTATTATTTCTTGATACTCTTGCAAATATTGCCATGTTTTGAACAAAGTTATGGTTGGATACCCATAAAAATCCTAGCTTTTGAGAAATATGGATTTTTCTTCTTAATGTTCACTTGTTCTTGATTTCAAAATTCTAGTGCTTTGTATTGGGCAATAAAAATGATATATTTGATGATTTCTTGCTTCGTTTTCTTAAATTATTTTATTAGAAAAATAAATGTGGATTTGGATGTGGAATTGGGGATTTTTGATTTACTTGTGATTTGAGAAATTAGTTGGTGTAGTATCTTTTGTGTGAATGTTTGGATGAACATGGATGGTCGTTGACTGGGTATCAAAGAGTGGGTAGATGTGTTTCTTACTCTACGAGGGTTTGAATTTTTTCTACTACTCGTAGTGGGGTTGGTGCCTTGCGAGGACCAAACCATTATTTGCTCACGTGGTATCGAGGTTGAGGGTTAGTATAATATTCCTGGATTGGATTCGTCATTGCTAATGCGTTGGTATACGCCCTTCCTAAAGTTGGATATCCTTACAAGGATTGAGGGTGTATATGTGGGCTAGGATATTCTCGATGTGTTTATTCATGTGATGTCATATATCATACCTGAGATACAAATACATATTGTGGTTAATGATACATTGTGGGCTATTGTTTGTTATGCAAATGGTTGGTTATGGTTTATTGTGGAAAGGAGTTTATGGTGGAATTGGTTTATTGTGAAATTGGTTATTGTGGAGATGGTAACTTGTTGGAATTGTTATTTTTAGAAATTGGTTTTACTTATTTATTTAATTTATTGATATTGCTTAAACCTGAGATCAAATGAACTGTCACTGTTTTCTTTTAAAAGTTATATATGATATTTGTGAAATGAGAGCGACTTGTTTTATATGTATTCAAAATCTTGTTCGAGTTTGGGAGAATTTTCCTACAGAGGTTAGTGCTCACCTGCTACAAACAACATTCTTTTCAGATTTTGGTTTAGAGGAAGAGTTCGGAGTGGACGAGCAAGTACCTTGAGAAGGTCAAGTGAATGGACATGTGGAACCGGAGGGGGGATGTCTAGAATTGTTCTTTTATGTTCTAGACTAGGAGATTGATTTTGAGATAATGTTCATGTTAATCTTTTCCTTATTCTGCTGTGAGATAATAGTTTGACATATTCTTTTGGGGCGTAATTATCATAGTTTGACATATACTTTTGGGCGTAATTTTCATGGTTTGACATATTCGATGTTGTAGTTATTATGGATGATGAATAAAAAAAATTTTATTGATGAATTTTATTAGTTGCTCTCATGATATTAATAGTTTTAGATAGTAATGTCGTCCAAAGTCAATTTTTGGGCGTTACACCTATTGCTCATTGGAACACACTGAAATTCAGGAACAATTTTTCTATTTTTCATACCCCTATCTCTCTGAATACATATTGTTGCATCGTTGTTTTTCTTCGTTGGTTCAAGTACAGGGAACAAAGTTATGTTCGCTGAAGTTTTGAAGATTGAAATGCAGCTTCTTTAAGAACGTGATTGAACTTGGAATTACAACTATTCTCTTTGTTTTGTCTCAAGTCTAATTACAATTAAAGGAACACTTTGTGGTCTGAAACCTGGGCCTCATGGTTGCCATGTCCATGCTCCTGGTGACACAACAAATGGTTGCATGTCAACAGGTTATCTTTATTCTCCATTGTCATCTTCATTTTATAGGTATCCATGGAGAATTGAGGGATGGAGAACAAGCAAAATGAGACTTCAATGAATATGGTTTTGATTGTGTCAATTTGTAGGACCGCATTCAATCCCGTAAGCAAAGTGTATGGTGCTCTAGAGGATGATGATCGTTATGCTGGTGATCTTGGCAATGCTACAGTTGGTGAAGATGGTACATTCTACTTAATCCTGACTAGAAAATTTTCCACCCCATCATATATCTCCTATAAAAAAAATTCATAGATATCTATCAATTTAGCGGCTTTATCATAAATATTGTACTTCGTTCCTGGTTAATGAGAGAAATTCGTGTAGCCATTACTGTGTCATTGTTGTACGTATCACCGCTGTTAGTATAATTTTAGTTTACATAGTTATTTTTTGAAAATATTTCATTCACACTCCCTCTAAGTAGACATAAATTCAATGACACCCCCTACTCATTTTAAAATTTCACTGTCACCCTCTGTCGGTCATTGTTTGATAACGGCGTTAATGACTAGGGTTAATTTACAAAAATAACCTTGAATATTTTATACGTACTCTATTTATATACTTATTGAACTTATACTACTAACTATGGTTATATTTAGTTAATCCCACCTATTTATTAAACCTAACCCTACCCAAGGCCCAATCCATAACTACCCGAATGTCTTTCCCCCTTAGTGTATTGACCGGTTATTGGGAGTTTCTTCTGACCAGCCTTCCTCTCTCTCCGTTATCGAACATGAAATTTTTTGAACCTACAATATTCCAAACATCATGGACTCCCTCGAAACCTCGTCGGATGATCAAATCAACGGTGAAGATTCAACCGTAAATGTTTACAAACTGTCCGATAATCTTTGCGCATTGGAGATAAGAAATGAATCACTTGTCGCCGAGGTTGAAGCTCTTCGCGAATCGAATCAGATTCTTCACTCAAAATTGACGGAGAAAGAGGAAAGTTTGATTATACTCCAACACCAAAAAGATGAAGCTTTGAAGCACAATATTGATATTTCAAAGGATATCGAATTGGTCTCGAGCCAATGAGAGTCTCTTCGCGATGAGCTTCAAGAACTTGAGGTCTCTTCGAGGGAGCGTGAAGAGGAGCTATTGAGAGAGAATGAAGGAATTAGGAGTGAGCTTGAAGTTTCCACGGAGAGAATTAATGAGTTATTGGAGGAGAAAAATGAAAATATTAGGGTTTTTTTTGAGAACTTTGAGGTCGTAAAATCAGTCAGGGAGTGTTTGGTTGGGGTAATTGAGTAGCCGGATGAAGAAAAAGTAGGAAATGACAGCAAAGAAAGTGAAGAATTGAGAGATGAATTGAAATTAAATGATGTATTTGGGGCTTTCTTGGTGGAACTAAAGGGGATTTCGAAGCTAGTGAGTGCGGTTGAGTTGAAGTTGAGTGAATATCAGGAGACGTGGAAGAAGGAGAAAAGGGAATTGGATAATAGTGTGGTGAGCTTAACGGAGGAGAATCGAGCCATCAATAGTTTGCTTAGGGGCTTTTCTTGAAAATGTTGAGGAAGATTAAGCAGTTGTTAACTGGTGTGGAATTCTAGATAAGGCATACTTCCAGGGAAGCTAATGTTGTCGCTGATAGATTAGCTAATGATGCAGTTAAGTGCAGAAGGTCTTTCGATTTTTCTGGAGATCTTCAGCTGCCTTGGGGGGATTGCCTGTGATGAGAATGAGACGAGTTGTGATTTTTGATGATATAGGTTAAATGGGCTTACGAATGTTAGACAGGGGCATTTTGTCTCAGTCTATCTACTGTGTTGGTATGGTTGGCTGTTCTGGGAGTTTTGGAATTTTGTCTCAGCAGTAGTGTTGATTTGTTTGAAACAGACATGGTGGGGAGATGCTGGTGATGGCTGGAAATGTTATGGAGCTTTAGCTGCTTGAATGGGTTGTTTGGTTTTGTTTTCTGTTATTTTTGTTCGTTTTCTTGTAACAAGAGGCCATTTGTGGTTCTCCTTTTGCTTATTTTTGTGAATAAATAAAAAAAATAGTTTGCTTAGGATTGCTTTGGTGGAAAAAGAGGCGGTGAGAAGAGTTTGAATAAACTTAAAGGAAACAATGAACAAAAGAAAGTGGCGATTTTGCAGATTGAGGAAAGAGGGTTGCAGGGAGTTGGATTTGGATTCATGATGGGGGTTGAAGCTAATGAACCGTCATCGGATAATTCAGTTTGAAGAACAACTTGAAAAACAAGGGTGGAAGGCATGCTAGTACATTTATATAAGGAAGGGTAGTTTTGATATTTTTAAAAAATTTAAAGGCACACGTTACTTTTTTTTACCGGCACCGTTAAACTTGACAGTTAAGTGGTATCTTTGATTTAAAAGAATAAATCAGAAGGGAATTAGAATAAAGAGGGGGTATTATTGAATTTAAGCCTAACTAGAGGGGATGTAGATAAAATTTTTCCTTACTTATAAGGCACATGCAATGCCACACTGCACAATTAACTTTAGGGCTAAGTTCAACTTACGCCCTGAAAGATTATTCAAATTTTAATTTATACCTTCAAAGTTTAAAAATATTAATTTATACCCTGAAAAATATAAATTCGTATTAATGTGCACTTGAGACTGATTTTGTTTATTTTTCTGTTAAAAAAGTTTGGATTAATTATAAATTATACTCTCCAAGTTTAAATATTTCATATATATGATCCAAAAAAGTTACATCCATTAATGTTTGTTAAATAGCTTCAAATTGTATCGTATAATAACATTTTCGTGTTGTGTTTGGAAAAAAAAATATTTTTCAAAATTTAAAAAAAAATTATAAAATATCCATTTTTCCCCTACAATGCTCGTTAAATAACTATTTTCTGTCTAAAGTTAGATACAAATCTTTTGATTATCCAATTAAATTAAAGTTAGATATGAATAACACAATTGTTGATAAAAAATAGTTATTTAACAAGTATTATAGACAAAAAATTGGTATTTTTTAATTTTAAAAAAATATGAAATAGTATTATATGAATTGTTATAAATGTGAAATATAAGACACAACGAAATTGACTTGAACACGACACAAAAATATTATGATACGATACAATTGAGAACTATTTAACAAGCATTAATGGATAGAATTCTTTTTGGATCATAAATGTGAAATATTTAAATTTTGAGGGGTGGAATTTATAATTAAATTAAAGTTTTTTAACTGTAAAATAGATGACAGTTAGTCTTAGATGTACATTGATATGTATTTATATCTTTTGAAGTACAAATTAATATTTTTAAACTTTAAGAATATAAATTGAGATTCCAGTGATTTTTCATAATGTAAGTTGAGATTAACCCTAACCTTTAATATAAGTTATTGTTTGTAGATTTTACTCTATAGACCACATTCCATCGTTGGAAGGGCCGTAGTTGTCCATGGTGACCCTGATGATCTGGGAAAGGGTGAGCATCAATTTTTTAATCATTACGTTGCCTTTATAGTTGCTTCAACTGTAAACCATTTACCTTACAACAAGGCTAGCTAGCCCCAAAAAAAAAAAAAAAAAAAATACTCCTCATGTAACGCATAGTAAATGAGTTATTAGATATTTGCCTCAAATGATAGTTGAGTTGATTGCATGTGCTGATCGTTACATTGGATTTCTTTAAGTTTTTACTTTTTCATAATAATTCTTTATCTTGTAATCAAGTATTGGATATAATACTTAGTTACAAAAAAATAACTATCCATACCTGTGAATTATTGCCTTCAAAAAACTATTGATAACTATGAATTTGATCAGTGGGTGCCATGCAAAAAACCCAAGATATTAATTGGTTAGTACTTATAAATTAGACTTATTATCTAATTATCTTATATCCAATTGAGAGCAAAGTCTGTTCAATTTAGAGAGAGGCTTTGTTCACGTGTTTTGGGGCTGAGAACGAATGCTTTCCTATCCCCTTGCATGAGGAATGTATAGAACACAAAAAAGTGAGTCAGTAAAAAAAAATTTCCAATAAGAAATGTGAAAAATTAGAAATAAATTATGAGAAATGTATTTTTTCTCGGTTGCTCAAATATAATTATTATCCCGTAATCTTCATCACCTAAAGGTTTGAGTATACATCACCAATCATTTACAACAACTACATCGCTAGTTATGGATGATTGATGAGGTGATTTAGTAGGAAATCATCTTTTATTAGCTTTATTCATTCTTTCACAACTCTTCCAATGAAACTAGAAGAGGAAGGAAGGTGGAGGGAAGACGAATTGTTTTATGGTTATCCAATAGCAACAAAATTCAAGTGACTTCGCAATTTCATAGCTTTACGAATGTCCCAAACTTTGGAATAAACAAAATTTGATAATAATTATATAGAATAATTTATACTCAAAATGATTTACATGTAACATGTTTTAAATAATTATATAAAATAATTTATATTAAGAATGATTCACGTGCAACGCACGTTTGCATCAACTAGTGATTAGAAAGTGTGTGGAATTTCGTGCATTTCTCTAGTATTTTTAGTTGATAAGCTCGTTTGTAGCTGGAAGTACCCATTAGAAAGTCGAAAAGAAAATTTTGAACTAAAAGTACTGATCTACCCGAGATTCAAATGGGGCTTTTAGGCATGGCCCTTTGGACCACTTGGAGGCATCTTGATAATAGTAATCGTTTCTGTAACACCCCAAAACATACCCTGGATGACATTACATTCTAAAATCATTCATATCATGAGAGTACTAATATAATCCCTTAAGAAATAAGACTTCATTTGTCATCCACGAATATTTACAACATTATCCANTCATGAGAGCACTAATATAATCCCTTAAGAAACAAGACTTCATTTGTCATCCACGAATATTTACAACATTATCCAAAAGAATAAGCCCAAGTCAGGACTATTACATCTCAAAAATTAATTAAAGAAGCGCAACGGAATAAATAAAAGAAGCTAGACTACACAATGCTCCAAAAGAATGTCCTAGTCTAGTACAAAAGGAAATGAGGTCGCTCTATGCAACCACCTCGGGATCCACACTCCCGTCCAGTGGAGTCTCCCAAGTAGAGGGCTCCTTGACCCTTACGTCCTCCTCCTCAAACGGGTAATCTGAAAAATGTTAGCGATAGGGGGTGAGCACGAAGTTCTGTAGAAAAATTCTCCCAAACTCATACAAAGTTTAGAAAAGTATTTAAAACGGTTGGTCTCAATTTTAACATAACATAGATACATAATTTGAAATAAAGCAGTGACATTTAAAAAGGATCTCAATTTTATTTAAAAACATTATTTAAATGAATAAACGAGCACCACATACAAATAATAACCATTAATTGCTATAAGCAATTCCCAACAATTCTTTCGCTAGGTGGCATACTTTGTGGTAACCTCCACCCCCTTTAGATCACCTTTGATTCTTAAGCATTCTTACCAGAAACCTATTGAGAATGGATGAGCATCCTTACATGGAACCTCTCACCAATCACTATATTGTTTCCCAAACATCCTTACCACAAACCTCTTGGAAAGGGGTGAGCATCCTTACAAGGAATCTCTCACTCATGTGCATCATAAACAACCCAACCAAACATACAATTTCAACATTTATCTCAATTTACAAGCATCTATCCAAAATCCCCAAAATATATCATGTAACAATTTCACAACCAACTAAGAAAATACATGAGATCACAATAACATCATTTTTTTACCAAACACAAAGCACTAAGGTTTCGAAATCCATAATAAAGAAAGCATTTAGGAAGGAAATACATTACTCTCCAAAAATTAGGGTTTTAAAACTAGAAAGGAGATTTCATGTGTATTAAACCCTACTTTGTTCAAAACATGTAATCCTTGCAAAAAGTCTAAGAGAGGATGATTCCATAGCATATATATATACCATTGATAGCCAAAACATACATATATAAATACCCTAACCTCAATGTAAGTGAATGAGAGAAAACCCCTACCTTGAATCCTTAGTTTGTAGGAAAAACTTGAGCTTTGATCTTGAATCTACTCTTAAATCTCTTATTTTTTCCTTCCTTTATTCCTCTCTAATGCTCTCTAGGGTTCCAAGAGGTGTGGGGTGAGAGTGAAGTGAAAGAAATGAGGGCAAATGGGATGAAAATGGGGTTTAAAACACCTCAGCCCCGAAATTCACTATTCACAACCTGTTTTGGTTTTATCTAAAATTACGGTTTTACCACTAAAAATCTCCAATTTGATCCATATGACTACCCTAAGGTTTTTCGACGTTCCAGATTCATTTTTAATATTATTTTAACCTAAAAACATTTATTTTTATAATTTATCTCAAAATCAAAGTTAACGTACACCCGAAACACTAAAGTTTCTATTTTACTCATCCGAACCGACTATTAATGAAGTTTTGCGTTGTTTGCAAATAAAAGGTGATAAAAGGTGATTCTTAAAGACTTTTATACTTATTTGAAGCCTAAATGTACTCATTATTCTTATATTTTGATTTAGGATGTAAATGGAGACGTTAAATGCAAAACGAAACTAATTGGA